TTTAAATGTAACAATTAATACACTACATTATACCAGTTACTTAAAATATAACACAGAGATTGAACCAACGCTTTACATGAACCAGTGATGATGAAACTGATTGGCAGGCCAAATTGTGCACAAGTCAAATATTTTGTATATACAAAAATACAGACCTATTTCTATCATTTGTAAGTGATGTACGAAATACGCATACAAGCTGGATTAATAAGTGCCTATTTTTGTATCACTACTTTTAATACATTTAATTGGTATACTTGAACCTGAAGTGACATGTTTTTATCTATAACAAATTTTCACTCACACACACACACACCTCAAGTAAAACACTTACTCCATTTCATCCTTTACCATGCCCCAATTGTGTGCACCAGCACCTTCTCTTTTTTCCACAAATTTCACACCACTGAAATAAATTAAATATCATCAATTTCTGAAACAAATTATACTGAAAAATATAAATTTATTATTAACAGTAAAATTTTTATAATTACTATAATATATACTACCTAATTCAGTTATTTTATTGTTTGTCATGATAGTTTAACCCTTTGCTGCTAATAGATACATTTTCATATATAGAGGATATTCCACACACATCTGTTCACTTGTACAGTACATATCCTTTTATCAACTTGTTTTTGCTATATGCTTGGTAATAGTTTATACTATGACATATTAATAACAATCTTTTAACAAATTGGAAATTGCATAAAATTGTTCAAAGATCATGCTAGTTGTATATATCTGTTCCTTTCTGGAAAAAGGATTTACACACAGATGTATGCCTCATAGGAGGTAGATTATCAACCATGGCAAAACCCAATTCTCGATCAAATATTTTAATAACAGACATCTTATTCCAAGTGTTTACTGTACAATTACATTTGCACCTTAAAAAATAACTGCTATTAATACTAATAGGCCAATTATGAGGAAAAAAATTGCATCAAAAGCATGTTTTTCAGAAATTTAACATTTTGTGTTCTTTTGTATAGTTTTACCTGATGATTAGGTTTGTAATGCTTTAGTTAAATGAAAAATCATAATAATTCAATGCAAATATTTGAATTACAAAATATAAATTATTAGAAATTTTATTTTATATTTCATAACCACAATACTTTTTTTTTTACTTGAAAACATCTGTATTTCCATAATTGTCGAAAATTTAAATGATAAAAAAAACAATGTTTAAATAAGATTTGGATATGTTTGGTTATTTAATGAATGGCTACTTCATTTATTTATTAATACAGAACTGAACCCAAAGAAAAATTATTTAGATATTTTTTAGTTAAATGTTTTGAATCTTGTAATTATTTTTTAAGAAAAATTTAAAAGTTGGCCAATGGTATTAACATTTTACAGAATAAAAATATCGCAAAATAAAAGATTGTCCCCGCGTGTGAAAATTATTTTGGATTGCCAATGCATTGAAATGACAGAAAAGAAACAAAAACAGTTTTTTTTATACATTCATGATATTTTTAGTTTTAAAAATTTATGAAAAAAAATTAAATTTTAACCAAATATTTTCCTTGCAATCATATTTAGCTAACTTATGAACAACAGTAAAAACAGAACACAGTCTTAGAATGTATATGTTATAAATTTAAAAAAAAGATTACAAACTTTACTAAATATGTAGTTTAGTAGTTAAAAAAATTTTTTTTTTATAAAACTGTATTTAATAAGACTTCAGATTAATTTGTCAAAACATTACACAGTATAGAATTAAATATAGGAAAATAATTACCTTTTATCACTTCCACTTTGACGATCAAATTCTCTTTTACCACGATTATCATAATTGCCAAATCCACCACCACTGCTTCCACCACCACCACCACCACCACCTCCTCCCCCTCCTCTTCCACGACCTCTGCCTCGACCACCTCTTCCACGCCCCCGGCGAAATTCACTGTCACCACGATCCCTTTAAATAATCAAGTGTCATTTGTTATTACAGTTCCATCAAAAGCTTTTTATTAAAATTTTAAATTAAATAATGACCCTTTTCCAAGAAAGTATTCTTGAGTTGTTTTATTTATTTGTCGAAATTAATGTTCTTAAATTATTAAACATTTTTGAGAATAATTAGCTTTTCACCAAAAGAAACTCAAAATTGGAATCAAATATATTAGTTTGTTTTTACAGTCCTTGTTATATTTTATCTCCATACTCTAACTTTCATTTTGCAAAAATAAGTTTTGTTATGCAACTCTGGTGCTGGAAAATTCAGTTTTATTATTTAAATGCATTTTAAAAAAGCTATAATGATTGTTTTTACATCTTTATAGCTTCCATTATCACCCACCCTATCCATGTTTCATTTCTCCTCCTCTTGTTTATTCAAAATCAGTTCTCTCTTCCAGTTCAGGCAATGATTACAAGAAGATGACCAGATGATTGGGGTGTGATTCGAATGTAACTGCACCTCAACACAAGAGCTCAATGTCCAAATAATAGGATCCACTTTTCAAGCATTTCCAAAAACTAGGCTTCTCAAAACTGACTGTTTAGCTTATAAGTCTTTGGAAGTTTCATTTCCCCCTTGTAAAGGCAATCATCGAATAGATAAGATGCTATTCATTGGAACTACATGATATATGTTCGAACCTTTATAACAAAGCTTATAAAACAAATTTGTCCAAGACTGCATATTTCTCAATACACAAAACTTACTCTAACACCTTGTAAACATGCAGCCAAATTTATTAACTTCTAATGTTTTCAGTCATGTTAAAGACCTTTATGAAGAAAAAACTGTAAAATTCGAACACTTAGTACATTTTCATAAACGAATAGGCTTTTTGAATGTTTTTGAACGATATTATATTGAAAATTAGGTGCACCATCTTTATCAATAGCTAATATTAAAACATGAATATAAAATAAAAATAAAGATAACAATCGAGACCATAGTGAGAAAATAACTACCAACACTAAAAAGAAATTAAGATGCCTAAAGCAACATATAACATAACAAAGGCATATAGTTATTTAATACCGTGTTTCCCCGAAAATAAGACATCCACAGAAAATAAGACCTAGCACAGATTTTGCTGAATTGCGAAATATAAGACCTCCCCCTGAAAGTAAGACCTAGCGAAGTTTTTTTTAGTCGTAACGGTCATCGACAGATGGTTGAAAGTGGCCGTTGTCTTTTTGAAAGTACAGCCACTGATTGGTCAGCAGACAATTACGCCGCACGGCATGATTTGCATAAGACTATGGCTTGGGAATCACAGATTTGCATAACGTTACGGCTGGTGATGGCTAATTCGTCGGCCGGGAATCACGCCACATGACATTTGCATAGTGCTACGGTTTAGTAAGCACTAATTGGTCATCGAGTCCGATGTTGACGCTATAAAAAGGCGACAGTTCGACACACCGGATATACGTCACTCTCGTCTAAGTCGAAACAAATTATACTGAAAAATATAAATTTATTATTAACAGTAAAATTTTTATAATTNTGTTTTGAAATCTCGAATTTTATAAATTTTTTAAAATGCATATAATATTTTAAAGTGAGCAATTGTAAAGTGTGATATGTGCATGATAAAAGACAAAAAACAGATCAGATCTACAACAATTTTTAAGATATTGCAAATTAAAAAATTAACTATAAAAACCGGAAACTGTCTATGCAACTACGATGTTTCGGATTATCAAGATGCATAGCTGAAAGGTTAAATATGACATGTGAACTGATGAGCAGAGGAACTGGATGTTTGAAATTTACATCGTTCAATTTTGTTCAAAAATTCTTGTATTCGTTATTCTTTTTAGAAGATCCAGCTGATTTACCTGATGAAGAACCCGGAAGGAGTTTTGAAAACGTTTGGAAGTACAGGTAGCCCTCGGTTTACGCCACAGTTCCGTTCCTACAAAAGCCGGCGCAAATCGAATCGGCGTAAAACGAACCCATATTTACACTGAGGTATAGGGTTAGGTTCCACATAAGTGAAAAATACGCCGATAATTTTGTTTATTAACTGACTTACGACCAGGGTATCGATCTGTCGCACCCCCCATTGTTATGACAATGGACCAGAGTACCGATTCGTCGTTACCCTGCAAAAAGTTGATTTTAATGAAATTTATTGACAACAGATGCCAGCACTTGATGGTAGTGTGTTGTCTACCATCTGTTTCACATATTTTTGTCCAGGTGGTGCTTTGTTGACTGAAAAATTTTTATTTAGCGATTATTTTCTTAATTTATATATCTTTTGATAATTTTTTATTATATTTATAGCATATTTACGTAATAATAATATTAAAATACGTTCATTCATGCTATAATATGTTTATTCAGTTATAATAAGTCAACGTATTATAAATATTTAAATTGTGACTCTCAATTTTGATATTTTTTATATTTTTATATTTTTTAATTTTTATTTAATTTAAAATATTAGCACATTGTAAATGTATTACTACTGGTGTATATATTTATCACAATAATTTATATTATTGTTCAAAATAAAATGAATGAAGAATATTAGTTCGTAATACTGATCGATAGCAAAATAAAGGTTAGATTCCAAACAAAGGATATATTATAATCTGTGATAATTTTAAAACTAAAAATTGTACATTCATAAATGTTATATCGAATTGTACAGAACAATATTTCAAGTCGTTCTAGCTAGTTTCAAGAACAAACTACGTAACTGGAGAATGTTACTTTTAACAAAATGTTACAAATTTTCACAGATGTCAGTTCTGATATATTATAATTTTTTTTCTATCGAATTTTTTATTGAAACGTAATTAAAAATGCGTATTTAAAACTACAGATATTAATATATGTAACGTGATTTTTTTCATATGAATATAACAATAACTTAATTTTTGGTGAATTTTTAAAATAATATCACCTGTCTGACCTATATTGCCCTTAGCCGTTTCAGACAATAAACGTAAACAAGGGGGCGTGACAAATGGAAATAAGAGAGTTAATACAATATAATACAAAGTACAAATAAATTTAATTTTTAAAATGTATTTTATCATAAAATAAAGTTAAATGTTTTTATTAAAATGTTTAGTTTCGGATCTCTTACATTTTTCGGAAAAAGTATCCATCTTTAATTGTTTACATTTTTGTTTACTTTCATTGCTCACAAGCTGGATCACATAT